TCTCGTGCAACAAAATTAAAGAATGTATATAACTGGCAGGTTACAATTGACGATAACAAGCAAATTGCTCAGTTTAAAAATTTTGAGATACCATTTTCTCTACCGAAGTGCGAAGTGATTGTAAATGATTCTTTGGAATTTACATGTTTGGTGTTTGGTTGGAAACTTCCAGATGATCATATAATTTACAAAGATTTTAAACGAAGTATGACAAATGTATTGATACAGAACTTACTGCAAAAAATATCATTGCTCAATGTTTGCAAAGGAATTGATCAAGAAATAATAAATTCCAGCGTATTGAATCATGTTATACCTTTTGATTACGACCTTGATACAACATCTCCTATGCAATATAAAGAGTTAAAAAGACATAAAGATTGTAGGGTTTTACATGAAGAAAGTGAATGTGATATTTGTAAAAAAGTTTAATTTGTAAAAAATATTAATGAAAAAACAATTTAAATCTAAAATAAAGATTGATAACACTGCAGCAAAGTTAAAAGCTCCTCTTACAAAAACATCAAAGAAAAGAATTGTTCTTGCATTACAACAAGAACGAGTTAAAACCAAAGAATTAAAAGAAAAAATTTATCGAATGAGAAAAGAAATTGATGCAATGGGTGTGGAACTCAACAAAGATTTTATTAATGATATAAATCACATTATGGATTCCAACAACCAGAATATGACTCCATTTATGAAATTATTCTGGGAAGAGCAAAAAAAAGCTTCTACTAATCAGAAGAGTTTAAAATATCATCCTATGATTATCAGATTCTGCTTATCCCTTTTCATGAAATCAGCATCAGCATATGATGAACTTAGGAATTCCATGATACTCACTCTGCCAAGTCGGAGGACTCTTAGTGATTATAAAAATGCAATACGTCCATCAGTCGGGTTCAATCCTAATGTAATTGAAGAACTCAAACTGATCACTAACAACTTAAATGATGTTCAAAGATTTATAGTACTCTCTTTTGATGAAATCAAAATTAGTGAAAATTTAGTGTATGACAAGCACTCAAATGAGCTTATTGGCTTTGTTGATCTTGGAGATCCGCATCTAAATTATAGCACTTTCAAAGACATTGATGACCTTGCTTCTCACTGCTTAGTTTACTATATTAGAGGTGTTGCTTCCGATTTAAAGTTTGCTTTGGCATATTTTGCTACTAAAGGTGTTACTGCAAGTCAAATTATGTCTACTTTTTGGAAAGCAGTGTCTGTGTTGGAATTAGAGTGTGCTCTTAAAGTAATTGCTGCTGTGTCTGATGGTGCTTCTCCAAATCGACTGTTCTACAAAATGCACAAAGGGATGGATAACATTGAATCATTTGTTGTGTACCGTTCAAAAAATATATTTGCAGACCGCTACATATATTATTTTTCTGATGCACCACATCTTATAAAAACATTTAGAAATTCATTGCATCATTCTGGAGATAGTGAAAATCATACACGTAATTTATGGAATGAACAAAAAGTTATATGGAGTTATTTCGTGAAATTAGTGAATGATGATATTTTCAGAGATTTAAAGTTGCTGCCTAAATTGACCTTAGAGCATGTTCAATTAAATTCTTTTTCTGTTATGAATGTTCGATTAGCAGCTCAAATTCTTAGCAAAAGCGTTTCAAATGTCTTACGCTTAAAGTATCCCACAGAAACCCATGTAACAGCACAGATATGTGAACTAATGGGATTGTACGATTACTCGAAATCAAAAGGAAGGCATTCTGAAAAGAAAAGAATTTTTGTTGCCCTACCGCAATGTTAACGATGCTCGCTTTGATTGGCTAAAGAACACTTTTCTAAAATACTTTGAAACTTGGCAAGAAAATATTAAAAATAGAACTGGGAATTTCCATCGGGGTGAACGTGAAAAAATGTTTATTTCATTACAAACATACGAAGGTCTCCATATAACTGTGAATTCTTTAATTGAAGTTACCAAGTTTTTATTAACTAGCGGAATACCTTTCGTATTGACTGAACGTTTTACCCAAGATGTCCTGGAGGAATACTTTGGGAGGCATCGCAGCCTTGGTCGCCGAAATGATAACCCTACCCTCATTCAGTTGGGATACCAATCAAATGCTATCAGAATGCAACGATCTGTAGCACCTGTTACTGGAAATACCATAGGAGCTCATATACAAAAGCGTAAAGTATCGTGGAGAATCGCTTCTGATGAACCATTAGGAAAAAGGTGTAAGAGCAAGAAAAAAAAAACAACAGAATCTGAGAACATATGAAAATAATTGATGATATATTTTTAAATACATAATTTTATTAATAAATAAACACATAACAAGTGGCATATACCATGCTTGTTACTCTTTGGATTGTTTTTTAAGAGTTTTACGAAGACCACCCTTATTATTTTTTTGTTTCAATTTTAGTTTATATTTGGTGGTAATGTCTTTAGCCAAAGAAAATGCTCGCACTCGAAAATAAAGTTTGACCATATTTTCTAAAAGGTTTTTACTAACATCATTATCAATGTCAACTCCGCATCCTGTTAAGATAGAGTTATAAAAGCTCACTACTTCTGTATCTTTCAGTAGTTCCATAGTCATCCTGTTAATATCAATTTCTTGCAAATGATTAATATTTGTTTCATTTCGAAATTGAATTTCAGCTTTTACAAATATTTGCTGGCATTCATTATTAACAGCTGTTAGTCCACCACAATTTTGTGCCTCAATCAATTCCTGATCTGTAGAATTTTTGCTAATAGCGTTATTTAATATTTTTATTATATCTTGATTTTCATTGGATTTATAATTCAGGCTATTTTTCGATTTCTTAATGAACTTTCTGACAACATACCCAGCCAGATATTGCAAGGCACCAATTTCATCATTTGTTATATTTTTTATTTGTTTTACTTCCTTGTTGGGCATTCTTTTGAAGTATGCAAGCACCTTGTCAGCCAGTTGTGTTGCTAAAAGAGTACTATTGGGTTTTCCTAATTCAGGAAAGTAAACATCTGCATTGATTACTATTTTATTATAAAAGCTGGAATAATAACTCTCTGCATTGTTTGTATTAATCAAAATGTCATAAATCTTTTTTACATCTGCGTAAAGTGCTTCTGTTAATATGAAGTTATAACACTTGAAACATTCTCGTCGAGTTAAGTTGTAACAGTTATCCTCAGATAGATTTTTTTGTGACTCCAGAACTAAATCACTTAGTATTATGCTACTCATTGTATTTCTACTTGTATCAAAGGTCTCTTTTAGTTGTAAATGTTTACAGTTTCGGTGACGAGTAAGTCCCCCTTTTGATTTACAAATGTTCCCACAGTCGTCGCACTTAAAACTGCCTGGTGTTGACTCCTATAAGAAAAGAAATCTATAGTAATGTATATTTACATAGCTTATTTTTTTAATTAAATATAGTTCTTGCATAAATTTGCTTACCTCTCCAACATCTACAATATTTGCAATAATAAATTCTTCATCTAAAAGACCTTCATCCTGAATATCTATCAATAAATCTGCAGACTCCTGTGTTAAAAACTCGTTATTTGACGCCATGATATAAATGTTTTGCACACTCTTTGGTCACGTGATTTAAAAACTATTCATTTCAACATGCGCAGCGTAACAAAAAGAAATAACAATGGACTTCCAGACCATAGTTATATTCTATTGACTATGTGCAAACGTTGCCGTTTGATTAGGATTTTTCAAAACGAATGTATCACTTCAGAAAGTTTTTCCAAAATAATTTTGCGATCATTAGTTTTTTATTTATTATAAAAAACACACACTTAAGATGAAAAACAATTAACTTCACAGACTTAAATTAATGCCAAAACATAAGTACTTTTTTCAATAGCGCCACTTTTGAGTAAAATAACTAAATACGCTATAGAAAAAAGAAATATGTTTTAGCATGGTTTTTGCATACGTTCACAAATGCATACATAATTTTACTTAAATTGAATGCTTTTGCAAAAACTTCAAAAGAAACCATGCTCAAACATTTTGATTGCTTTCTTTTATTGAGAAAAGCGATTGCAACATTTAACGATGGTTTCTTTTATGTTTTTAGCTATTACATTAAAAGTTTAAAGCAAATGTATTCATATAAATTAGCATGCTTTTTTTAAAATTTTTTTATTTTTCATAAAGTGAAATAATGTTTGTTTGCATATTAAAATTTTTGCACTTGTAAAAGTTTTTAAAAGTACAAAAGTTTTAATATGCAAAAATTTTTTTTTTGTGCATTTATTAATTTGCGCGCACTTTGCAAATGTGTAAAAAACAAGGTTTTTGAAAAATAAAAATTAAATAAATTTACCAAGCATCTTTGATATATTTAATAACTTATTAACTAGAATAAAAATTATTTGAAATTTGTTTGACATAAATCTCTTAAATTAGACGTTCGTCAATAAAGATGCGCAAGTCAACGTTCATTAAAAAAAAAAAACGTTATGTCACGCCCTGGGATAAAAAATAGTTGGCAGATGCGATTGTTTCAAGATTATTGTAATTCCTTTTTTTTAGTAAATAATTTCTTAATTAGAAATTATATTTCCATGATAAAATGGTTTGTAATTATTTTTTGATAGCTTCTGTACTCATTTTGCCTTAAACTCTAATCTGAATATTTTTTTCAATGATTGCCCTTAATTAAGTTGCACTAAAGTACTCAGGAAATTTTGTGGGAGTTTAATTGTAATTATGGAACCAATTAAATTAAAAATCGCATTTGTTTTTTTTTAGCGCATTTTTTAAACGCGTTAACTATCAAATTTTGCAAAGAGCTGTGGTCAAGTTGTTAAAACAAAAAACTATATGTGTGGTCATATAAGGCGTGCGATCGCACGCCTCTTACGAGAAGGCCTGGACAATGTTTTTTGAGACTTGTACTAAGTTCTACCAAGTAATAAAATCAGAAAGCTGTTTTGATAGGAAATATAAATAAATGAAATATTTAGATTTTTAGCAATATTTGCAGAAAAATTATCAACTTACCAATCCCTGGGATTATATGATACTCTTCATTTGTAGTTGGGTCTACAGAAGCAGTTACTATTTTAACATTAGGAAAAACTGATGCAATTGTATACACTCCAGTACGTGCCATGATCAAAGACACAAAATATATATTTTCTTCTTTAACATCATGATCCTGATCATGAATCATAGCATATTAAATAAGGATAAAAAAATTAAGTTGTAATTTTTCATTTTAAAGTCATTAAATAATTAACTTACCAATAATATTCTTATTGCCATCAGCGCTAAAAAATTTAAACCAAAATAATTAAAATATCAAACAAAACATTTGTAACATATATATTTATTAATATGATTTTATATTGTAATATGTTAATTTTTAGGGTCTCTAGGAATTAAAAAAGAAAGACTAGAAAGTTTCTTTTTTACTAAATTGAAAACCAGGCTACACTAGTAAAACATTTTAATTACAATATATAAATGATATTGCTATTTTTTTAATTTTATGGAAAAACTTTAAAAATACTATTACAGCAAACAATTTTCTAAATGAAAGAAAGTTTTTAAAGAAAGTTCTTAAATTAAAGAAAGATATTTCTGTTTTTTGTGAGTTGTATTTCACACTCACACAATACAGAAGTTTCACGATACAGAAGATTGTTTAATTAACCATCGCAAGATTACACCTAAAAAAAATTTATTAACTCATTTTTATGTATCTGTTTATCAGTAAAGTGTAAGTTTAATTTTATGTCAAAAGTTAATTAAAGTTAATTCTTATAGAAAATCACAAAATATTATTTATCAGTTAAGTGTAAGTTATGTTTAAGTTTAGTCAAACAAAGTGGTTTACATTTTATACAGATTTTCAAATTAGCACCATTTCAAAATAATATTGTTTGAATAATTTTAATTAATTTAAGCAAATCTTTTTAATTAATTTTAGCAAATCTTTTTTAGTCTTTAACAAGTGTCTGTACTTAGTTTGGCAATGTGCATTCCTAAAAAATAACATAGTCAACATATTATTATTTTCATCTGATTTATTTGCATTTAAAAATAAGAAATACAAAAAAGTGATACGTACATAATATCAAAATAACTCTTACATAACATCGAAAAACAGTTAAAATAGTGTGCGATGGTGATGAACATTGTATTTTTTAAATTTTGATTTGAACAAAGACAAAGTGGACAAGTAAACAATATAAGTAGAGAATTCCATATAGAATTGAATATTGATTATTTTTTTACAGTCGAAAAATGTTTGTGTATCATTTTTATATTTTATGAGTGAATTAAGTTTTTGGGTATGTCATCTTTTAGGGATTGTAAAAAGGTGCAATTGTAAAAAGCTCAGAAAAAGGAAGATCGACAAGATTGTGTATAGTTTTGTAGGTCATTACAAGATCAAATTTTATTCTATGGCATTCAAGAGATTCTAGACCGAAGATATTGAATCTTGAAGAGTAATCTTTATACAACATCTTCTACTTTTAAAGTTTTCTAATAAAAGATTTTAGAACCTTTTCTAACCAACGTGTATCTTTTAAAAGACAGGGATTCCACACAGAGGTTCAAGATTCTATAATATATGGAACATTTTTTTTAAACATGTTTGCTTCCAACAAGGCTGCAAGCAACCACAATTAAAGTTGGAAGTTACTGGAAAAGAAAAGATAAGGATTGTAGAGCACAATAATGATTGACAGACAACTTAAAAGGTTGCAATTTATATGAATCAGGAAAGCAAGATAAGGAAGCAAATTCCAAAGAACTGATGTTCAAGGAAAAAAACTAGAGGAATAAGAGTTTTTGGAGCACTTAGGAACAGTCACAGAAAAAGGATGAGACTTAATTGAATGACGAGTAACGCGAGAATGAATTTTTGTAGATGGTGCAAGAGATACTAGCTCTTTAGAGCAGTGCCCATTATAGTATTTGTAGAAAAGAGACAGGGAACCAACATTACGATGATGTGATAATGGTTGGAGGTTGGCTGCAAGAGCAGGTCCAACTATGTTTACCATGCATATTTGCACCTTCTCTAAAAGAGAAAAGGGCATCATTAGAAGATCTCTCCCAGATATGGCAACAGTATTCCATACAAGGCCAGATTTGAGATTTATAGAGATAGAGAACAGAATCTGGAGTAAAAAGTGTTGAGCTTGATAAAGAGATACAACCTTAGCAGATGCTAATTTTGCATTAGATTTGATATATGGTTTCCAAGAAAGATTGAAAGTAAGATTTAATCCTAGAGGATCAAGGATAGATGACTCATCAAGTACATTACCATTCATAAATATAGGAAGATCTAAATTATTGCGATAACAATTGGCTAAAAAAAACTGAAATTACAGGATATGAAGAAGAGTAAATTAAACTTTCCTAAATAAATATTTATTTTTTAAATCAGTTTTTACTTTAAAAGTGTTTAAATGATTGTTTATTATTTTGCATAAACATTTATTTTATGTTTTGAAACTATGTATAAAAATAAAATAATTTTTACCGGGATCTGGAATCAAAGAAGACCTTGGTTTCGATACAACCTCATCAAAGAAAATATTTTTAGAAGTGCCTTTACATTTTTTTTTGTTGTTGAATATCTTTTTTTATAACAATCTTAAACATTTTTATTGCGTTTTTAAATTTTTTTTATGTTTTAAAACTTTATAACTCTTAATCTTTCAACTTTTTTATTTTTAAATGTTATAAGTTTATGTTATATGTTATTTGTTAATATTCTTAAAAGTTGTAAGTTTATTTTATAGGTTATTTGTTAATATTTTTAATTGTTATAAGTTTATGTTAAGGTTATTTCTTAATATTTTTAAATGTTATAAGTTTATGTTATATGTTATTTGTTAATATTTTTAAAAGTTGTAGGTTTGTGTTATAGGTTATTTGATAATATATTAAAAAATAATTCCTTTGAAAAAAAGACTCCTTAAAATTATTTGCATAGAGATTCAGTTTATAAAAAATCAAAAACAAAATTCAGAGAGAAAAAAAAATTTTGTTTTTGTGTTCTTTTTCTTTCATTTCTTTTTCTTAAAAATTGACTGAAAAATGAAATAAAAGAAACTAATATGTTTTCTAAAAAAGTGTCTGAAAAAAAATACAATGAAAAAAACTTAACTTTGTTGTTGCTGTAAGAGATGTACTGAATTTTCATAGACTAGTAAGTTATAAAGTGCTATAACTAGTTCAGTATGAAATCATCAATAACATATACTGCACAGTTAAATAGATATGAGATTTATATCTATCATAGACACACACACAATAAAAAAAAACAGTAAATCTAACTTTTTTAAATATTTCTTTTATCACTTTTAATATTCTTTTAGAAAATATAAAAACTTAAACTTCATATTGTTTAAAAAGAGTTAAAAGAAGTTAAAAGAAGTTTTAACTCTCTACAATGTAGCAATATTGCAAATAAAATTTACCAGCAGCACCAGTAGCAACTGTAGCGTCCATTAAAATGACTTGATGATTTTCAATATGTTTTGGTAAGCGAATATAATGAAGCTGAAAAATTAAATTATTATAAAGAATAATTGGAATAAAAAATTTAATCGCATCTAGAGAAAGAACTCTTACTTCAGGCTCTGTAGTATTTATGTTTGTTTGGATTAGCATCTTTCCAATGATGGCATCTCTTTTGACAGATACTAACGCTTCCTCTAGAGCTTCACCAGCACGAAGGATAGATACTCCACAAAGCTAGATAGTTTAAAATCAATAATTTTTTTTTTGATTATATTTAATTAAAAATATTACCAAGTCGCTAACAAGGCTTCAACTGAACGATCAATTGAATTTTACTTCAATGATCACTAACTTATAACCACTAACTTTTCGTTTTAAACTTTATAACAATATATACTTAGTTATTTTGTTTATTATCAACTTATATTTATTTATGTTTCAGCTATTTTGAGGTTTATTACATATTTTATAATATATATCTTTTTTAAAACTTTTTTAAAACTTGGAATTAAATAAACTTTTATAAAATTTCTACAAACTTGATGAGCTTTGATTAAATATTATTTGGAATTAAGCAAAGTAGATTAAAGTATATTATATTAACTAAGCAAAGTAAATGGAGGTATATTATTAGTTATGTACTAATTAATCAACCTTTTTAAAATATTTATATTAATCAATTAATCAGCATTAGCCTACTCTGCCAATTTTGCACAATTGGCACTGGCATCAACCTTTTTTTAAAATATTTATATATTTAATAAACTAAACAATATAAATTACTAAGATTATATTGGATCTACATTTACATTTTTGGTGCTTCTTTAGAACCAACCAAAATATTATAAGAGTAATCGGTACAAGGAACATAAGAAATTCATTAATGTAGAGAATGGCATCAGGAGTAAAAAAATGGAGAACACAATAAAGGCAACCTTTGCAGATGCTAAATTTGCAACAAATTAGATAAATGGTTTTCAGGAAAGGTCATTAATGAAGGATATAAGGTTAGCAGGAAAATGAGAAAATTAAAACCTGTATTGATTGTAAGATAGTTTGACTCAAGAATTGGTATTAAAGATTCAAAGACCTAATAATAGTTCAAAAACTGATTGAGCAATATTTAGAGAAGTCAGAGTGATTTGGATGTCTAACAATGGATTAACTTATTTCTCTGGAATTGAAGAGCATGGTTACAAAAATTAAGAGTTAAATTCAAAAAAGAAGGACAAAAGAACAAAAGAAACAAAAAAGGTGGAGAACAAAAAGAAAAGTGATTGAGTAAAGAGACACTCAATGAAAATAATATATATTAACACAAAAAAAATATATATATATATTATTTACTCAACTGAATAAATTAAAATTTTTATTGTTTTGTCATTTTGTCAAAAAAAAAGTTTTAATTTAGATATTAACTAAACTGTGAAACTGCTAAAATTTAAAATTTAAGATAACCTACACATCCTTCAAGTTTCATTCCATTGTAACTGCTACCTTGAGGAGTTTCGCATGTATATGGCTGCAATATAAAAACATAAAATTACATAACCTATTTAGTTGCAAAACATTTTTTTATGGATATTATTGATAAAGTATTTGTAATGGAAGCTATGGAAGCACTGTGAATATTACAGAACTATTTCTTGCCTGTATAGCTTAGATAAACCAATCTTGTTATATAAAGTCTTGAATTTTTTTTTAATTGTTTTAAATTCTGACAACAATGATAAAAAAAACAACAAAATATATGTTTGCATTAAGGTAATAAAAAAAATATTAAAACTTTAGTTACTTTTTAAATCCCCACCCCACCCCTGGTAGTACACCCTGGTAGTACCCCTGGTAGTACTGGACTCAACTTGTTTCTCAATGCAGTGGCCTTGTTTGTCAAATTTGTAGTGGTCTACTCGGTCTTGAGGAGGTGAATTAACATAAAATATAAAAAATACTCACTTCAAATGGAAGAAGTGACATTGTTTTTTCCATTAGTATCCTCATTAATCTTTTTGAATAAAATATAAAATCATCACGAGTAGCATCTCGATTCCTGATTAAAAATACATATATGTAAAAATAAAATTAAAAACAATAAAATATCTTGAATAATTTATAAATTAATTATTAAAACTTCATTTACTTGAAATTATTGTTCAGAAATATCTTTTTTAGGCTATTTATATTATATTATTCATATTATACTTTGATAATTTTAAGTATACATGCATAGGATCAAGAGTGCATATAGGTAGGATCAAGGAAGCATACTGGTATGCAACTTTGATCCCAATTGAGTTTTCTTAATTTTTATAATTTAAAATCTATTTTAGATATTCTGGTAAAAAATATTATTACTAAATTATAATAAAGTTTATATACTTTAGAGGTATAAATAACACATATATTGAGAAAATTGGCCAGATAAAATAAATCAGCAAATGCCAAGTTGAACTAGGTGCTAATTGAACAGATGCAAAAAGCAGAAGTGTAAACAAAGTTAAAGTTAAACCACATAACCAAAACTTTATTTATTTTGTGTATTATGTCATTTGGTTCATATTGTTGTGTATAAGTTACTTTAAAACAACACTTCTAAACAATATAAATAATTGGTTAACAGAAATTTACTTTATCCATGAATTAAGTCACATATTTCTTTTAATGTTTTTAATAAGCTGAAACATTTTAAAAATTGATGTAAACATGTTTTATTTTAAAGATTTTTTTAAGTTTAAGTTTTTATTTATTTTTGTTTATTTACACTATTTCATATATTATATGTTTTGTTTTTTTTTGTATTTTTTGTTCTTATTTTTATTCAAAAATTTTTAATTTAATGTTTATTAGTGACTTATTTGTGTTAACAACAACAACAACAACAACAACAACAAGAAGCTATTTATTTTCCATTTTAAAATCATTTTTACAATAATAAGGTAAATAATAAAAACAATAATTATAAAATAATAAGCAATAGTAATAATTTATAACAATAATAACAACAACAAAAAAAAATTATAAATAATAATTACTATAATAATATTAAGTAAAATGATATGTTATTACTTATTATAATAAGTTAATGATTAGTATGGATGGTATCATTCATACAAAAGTCTGATCAAAGGAGTGACACCATTTTTCAAAATAATATGACTAATAATAAACATATAGACATAAAACATAGACACACATAAACTAAACTTTTTAAAAATCATATATGTAGGTAATAATAAAAGAAAAAAGAAAAACAAACAAAAAAATAAGGATAATTATTATAGTAATAGAAAAAAATTATAACAAAATATTTTTCAGAATTTTTTAAAATTGATTTTGATTAAGATTAAGAAAAAATGACAAAGGAGTTTGGAGTTGGAATTTAATGAACTCATTTACAATACACACAAGGCTCTTGTTCCATTCACAGATGCACTGATACACAACAGAATTCTTACCATACTTTTGAGTTTTATATGATGGTACAATAAGTTTTCTATTATTTATATTTCGCATAGAGTATGTATGAATTAGTCTACTTTCTATAAAAAAGTTTGCGATAGAAGAAGGTAAATTTTTATTTAGAGAGTTAAAAACAAAAAGAAGATTAGCAAACTTTACTAGCATATGAAGGGTTGGAATTTTAAGTTTTTTTAAAAGAATCTGATATAACTGATTTAAAAGGTTGAAAGTTTATTATTCTAATGGATTGGCGTTGAGATGACATTAGTTTGTTAATATGATAGGTGCCAGTTTGACCCAAAACTTGACAACAATAACTAAGATGAGATGAAAAAAAAAATGCATAGTAAATATTTAAAAGAGTAACTTTATCGACATAATGTCGAATTACTGAAAGCATACCATTTGCACAATTAAGTTTCTTGCGCAGCTCATCGATATGGAAGTTCCACGAAAGATTGCAACTAATTAACACACCAAGATATTTAATAACTCTCGAGGGATATAGTTGTTTATTATTTATTTTGATTTTAATTTCAACGTTGTTACAGTTTTTTCTGTTGTTGTTACAGTTTTTTCTAGGAGATAAAAAAAATCAGTTCAGTCTTTTTGGTGTTAAGACATATTAGGTTGGCATTTAACCAATGAACTATACCTTTAATATCTGAATGTATATTTTTACATAGAGAATAGTATGATTTGTTGACATGCAAGAGATAGGTATCCTCTGCAAATAGATGAACCGACGAGAAGTGAACAGAGTTGTTTAGATCATTGTTAGTGTTGTTCATAAAGTTGTCTATTGATTTTATATAGTTATCTGAAATTAGATATATAAATAATCAATGAAAAATAAAGTTTAAAAATAAATTTAAAAAAATATACCCAAAAATATTGCATCAATTTCACTACAAATTAAAGTTATTTTTTAACAATACAGTTTTTAATTTTGTTTTTGCTGACTCAACATTTTTTGCAACATGTTTTTTGTCATTAAATAACAATATTTAATAAACAGAATGAGGTATTGAAGTGAAATTTAGTACAAATAAAGGATGGTCCAACCATAATGCACGCTGCTAATTGTGAGTCACACCTTAACGTCAAGTTTTTTGCCCACCTTAATTCGAACAGATTGTTCTGCAGAAAGTATGATCTTGTTCCCAGAAGCGTCGCAGAAAGCCATCAAACTTGACTCCTTGTCGCACCCAACAATTGCTGATGCAAGCAAGGTTCAACTGACTTAAGAGCTAAAGCCTATTGACCATTTCAAGCTTTGTCAATGGTTACAAATGGTTGGTTGAACAGACAAGTGAATGGTGACCTTACAAAGAAAATCATATAAGGTGAAGAGGAACATTTTCACCTCAGTGGATTCATTAACAATCAGAATTGCCACATTTGCGCAAATGAGAACCCATGATTGACTGTTAAAAAACCCATGCATCTACAAAAAATGACTGTTTGGTGCAGTTTATGGGCTAGTAGTGTCATAGAGCTGTACTTAATGCAACAAACAACATGGTTAAAAAAAATCATTTGATGTGTGTATTTAGCACATATTGATGTTATGTGCTGAGTTTTATAGTTTTTACTTGAAGTTTTACAAGCATTTTTATGTTTTTTTCGTCCTGACAGTTGTAACCGTGACATTTGTAACAAAAAATCGAATGCTTGAAAACAACAAACAAAACGTCACAATCAATAATGTAAGAAAAAAAAGTATAAATGATTATTAAAAACCATCTTATGTTAAATAATATTATGTTAAAAAAAATGCACTACAGCTTTATCAAAGTTTTCAAACTTTTAACGGTACACAATAGGACTGTACGATTTTAACGGTACACAATAGGACTGTACGATTTTAACGGTACACAATAGGACTGTACGATTTTAATGGTACACAATAGGACTGTACGATTTTAACGGTACACAATAGGACTGTACAATTTTAACGGTACACAATAGGACTGTACGATTTTAACGGTACACAATAGGACTGTACGATTTTAATGGTACACAATAGGACTGTACGATTTTAACGGTACACAATAGGACTGTACGATTTTAACGGTACACAATAGGACTGTAAATAAGCGTCAAAACACATTTATACAACCTTTACAACTTTAAAACCATGCTATGGTATGATAACATGATTTTTTAAATAATTTTTTTGCTTTAAAGTATTTTTATCTAGTTAAAAAAAAAAAGAGTTACAGAGTTTAATATGTGTTTTCATAACTTTTTTGCATTTTCCCCCCCTCTTTCTTGCGGAGTTGCCCATATATTTTGAGATTTACTTTAATGCTCAAAACTGTGATGTCACTTTGATAACTTGTTACCAACCATATAGTAATCATTAATTAATTAATCATTCATTAATTAATAGAGTAAATATATAGCAGCAATAGAAAATTAATATTTAAAGCATTATGAAAATTAATATTTAGAGCATTACAGCACTAAACAGAACGAATGAAATTATTGTGAGGAAATAAAAGGCTGTATTTATAAAAGACAAAAAATCATTATTGCAATTAGATTAAAACCTAATGAAGTTTGTATACTTATAAAAATGTTTTTCTTTACAAAAAAATCAACTTTAATAAATAAATTTACTATTTCAGATTTTTGCTTCAAAAAGCCTCATCAAAAAATTGTATAAATTTTTAACAAAAAAATAAATAAATTCTTTTACTGGCATAACAAAGCCAAGTTAATCCAACAACAAAGCCAGGAAGTTAGACTTCATAACTTTATTATGCTAGTAAAAATATTGTTTTAAGAAACAAAACTTTAAAAAAACTACAAACCTAACCCTTCTACCATAACCTCCAAAAAAAAAACTGTCCACTTGCTTTTATAAGGTAAACTTTTTTTCTTAGATTTTAGGGAGATTTGGAAAAGTTGACATTGTACCCAGGTACAAAAAATTGAATAAATTAAGATATAAGCAATTTTGTGATAAATAAGTAATAAATTTTATACTGATTTAATTTATGCATTACATAAAAGGTTGTATTTGAAGAGACAAAAAATGCATAAAATATTTTGCTTAAAAAGTGATGGTTGATATCTATATTTTAAGTTGGATATGGCCCCAAACAGATCAATATTTTGACTGTCGAAATTATTTTTTTTATCGATATTATTCAATTTATATGAAGTCATTTTACTCTGAAAGCAACTTTAATTTGATACTAAAATCTGCTATGTGAATTATTGTTTATTTTCCTAAATTTCAGGTCGATACTTTATTTTGTTCAATAAATATTAATGTTTAATGACAAAAAAGCATGTTACAAAAAATATTAAATCAGCATAAATAAGAAAATAAATAATCAAAACCTGAATATCTCAAGAACCATATGGTGGTTCGAGGTTCCAAACTTTAGATTTTTCTAGTTTTCATAAACCCTGACATATATAAAAATTAGCAAAATCCATAACATGAGGAGACAATTTTTTGGTTTTTCTGCTGATTTGACATGGAATGACCCACAACCATAATAAAAGCCAACAAAGTTATTATTACTTTTAATTTATCTTTTTATCTATTAAATCTGTTTTTTATTTATCTATTACTATTATTACAACTTTATCATTCTTATTAATTTTTTATTAGAAAAAATGTATGATTTTTTTTTAGTATCTTCACTTCCAACAAGGCTGCAAGCAACCACTATTGGAAGTTACTGGAAGAGAAAAGATAAAGTTTATAAAGCAAGATAACGATTGACAGACGACTTAAAAAATTGTAAATTATATGAATCAGGAAAACAAAATAAAGGAAGCGAATTCCAAAGAATTGATGTTCGAGGAAAAAAACTAGGCAAATAAGAGTTTTTGGAATACTTAAAAACAGTCACAGTAAAAGAATGAGACTTAATTATATGACAAGTAACACGAGAATGAATTTTAGTAGATGGCACAAGTGAAGCAACCTACAGAATTGTTTGATTATTCTAATAGATTATTGGATATTTTACATATTTTTGTATATTTTTTACATTTTAATGTTATAGTTAACAAGAAACTTAATTGTGCAATATTATTTTCACTTTTTAAATCAATCTAACATGTTGTGTTTTAACTTTAATACTTTTTTTAAAAGAAGGAATTTCAATGTTTGAATTTTTTTTTCCAAAAAAAGTACATAACTTCCTTAGCTCTAACACCATCTGCAAAACTCATAAGCACTCTTCATCAACTTGCACAAGTAGAGTTGTAAAGAGATGCCATGATTTGTACAGCTTGTACATAAAGAAGGAGAGCGGGTATCATTCCATGTATAATTCATTCAGCAGTATAATTGTGATTGAGATTGACATTTTGATACGTACATTGTTTTCTTAATTATTTGATGCTTGAGAAAGCCATCAAATAATTGAGGAATAAATAAAATCATCAAAATCTACAGGGGTGCGCAGGTTATCGCAGAAAAAAATGAAAACAAAAATTTCGCGGCAAAAAATATGATATACAGTGAAAAACATTTTTGGCGGGAAAATGCAACACAGTTCAACAAGTTAATCCTTAAAAAATGCCGTTTTTCACTAATTTAGTTGTAAAAAATGGCACGATTTGACAGCACGCAAAATGAAAATGCAAGAAAACTTGTTTTTGATCTATGGAAACGTGGTGTGAAAAAAGTTGAAATTTGCAAAGCCGTGAAGGGACAGCTTCATAATTCCAACGTCTACAGACTCTTAAAAGACTTAAAAACTGGAAAAAATTACAAAAGAAAAAAAACAGGCCCAAATTGTTATGTGAGAACTAAAGAACTTCGAAATTCGATCGACTGCAAAGTACGATGAAACCCAAACAGGTCAATTTCATCCTTAGCTAGAGAAGCAGGTGTGTCTCGAAGGACTATGCAACGTGTTGTCCATGATGATCTGGGTATGAAGAGCCTTGTCAAGTCAAAAAGACAACTTCTGAGTGAGGCAACTAGAGCCAAAAGACGCAAAAGATCAAAAGAGTTACTAAATTGGTTCAAAGACCACAAAGATGTCCCTATCGTTTACAGTGATGAAAAAAATTTTCACAGTTGAACCAGAACCCAACAGATACAATGACAGAGTTCTTGATAAGTCCAGAAGAACAGTTCCTTTGGAACTGAGGACTATTCCAAAGAGACAGCACCCTGTGGGCGTCATGGTTTGGGCAGGTGTGTGCTCTGATGGGTCAAAAACTCCCCTTGTTTTTGTTCCTGAAGGTGTAAAAGTCAACCAGGTGACCTATGTCGACTTCATCAAAGCTAACCTCATTCCTTGGGCCAAAAAGAAGTTTGGGGATGATCCATGGGCCTTTATGCAGGATAGTGCACCAGCACACAGTGCAAAGAAAACTGTCAGCTTCTTGAAAGAAAATGTTCCGCACCTTTGGACCCCAGATATGTGGCCCCCTTCAAGCCCAGACATTAATCCTATGGATTTTGCTATATGGAGTGTCATGGAGACCAAGAAGGCAGCCAAAACATATATCCAAATTTGGCAGCCCTCCAAAATGAGTTGAAGAAGATCTGGAAGAATCTTAGTCTGGACATGGTGCGACGATGCTGTGAGTCAGTTCCAGAGCGGTTGAAGAGTGTCATTGATGCCAAAGGAGGCTACTTTGAAATTCATTAGTGTTTTTGAGTAAAAACATATGTGATTTGGTATTGTGAAAAGTTTTACTTTGAAAATAAAAGCCATTTTTGAGATATAAATATTTTTATTTTTCTGCGATAACCTGCGCACCCCTGTAGAAACTTGAAAAGTGTCCAAGGTACATGAAAAACAAAAAAAGCCAAAGAACTATTTCTGACTTGTAATGAGCTTACAAGCAAACCAGACATAATAGATTTCAAAGTTGGAATGTTGAGGATTTTGTGGTTTTAATTAACTTCTGAGCAATCACTAATATTATCTTTAATGTGTTTGAGAAAATGCTGAGTTTGAGAAGAAAAGCCTTCACATAAATAATAAATTTGAATTAAACAAATCGCTGAAGTTAAGCAGAATTTTCAAGAAATACTGTAAATGTTGAAACAGTATAAAAATTGTATTGTTTTGTCCTTGATGGTATTAGAAAAATCCATCTTTCTTTACTTTTCTGTAGTTTCTATAGATCTGCTGTGTTTTTTTTTAATTTTTATGATTCTCTAGTCACTCATGTTTGCACAATTTCCATTTGAACCATAAATAAACAATTATAAAAATCAAAGAAAAGACTTATTTTCAGAAGACTATTTACAAGTTTCCTCCAGGTTCTAAATATTGTATGGTTCTGGAAGGTTATAAATCATTCTTGAAGGTATTATAAAATTTCTAGAATATTCTAAATAGTTGCTGCAATGAAGGAGATGGCAGGGTTGTGGAAGAAAGAAAATATTTAATTAAAATAGCTAAAACACCAAGTATACATTTATTTTATTGATAAAAACTGATTAGAAACTATTCATAAGTTGTATGAGTCTATCATTTGCAAAAATCAAGCAGTTATTACTGCTAAAGGATGGTATATCATATTAAAATGCATTTTTCTATTTTTTGAAAGTGTTCACATTAGTTTTGTATGTGTGTGTGCATCTATATATATATATATATATATATATATATATATATATATATATATATATATATATATATATATATATATATATATATATATATATATATATATATATATATTTATATATATATATATATTTATATATATATATATATATAAACATTTTAGCTACAGAAAACTTATAAGAATCTATAAAAAAAACCTTATAATAGCTTGCAATCCACGTACTTGGGGTGTGTCTTCAACAATATGAAGATTTTCAGGTAATGGTTTACCTTCGTGTTCTGTAATAAGATCAGCTCTTGAAAAAATTTAAAATTAATAGACAAAAACCAATAATAATTAAAAAATAGAAATACAAATGATTAATAGCAAAAAATTCAAAACAAAAAAATAAATAAGTTGAAATTTGAGTTTAAGAAAAATATAAAAAAAACTATAAATACAATAACAAATAAAAAAATGTAGACAAATTTGACATTATGATTTAAGCAAATCATTTAATCGATCAGTTGAAAAGCAAATTTTAAACCAAGACATTTATTTTTAAACAAAAGTTGAAATTATTTATAATAAATAAATAAAAAATCATAACTCTAATATATATATATATATATATATATATATATATATATATATATATATATATATATATATATATATATATATATATATATATATATACATATATATATATATATATATATATATATATATATATATATATATATATATATATATATATATATATACACACACATATATATATATATTTTTTTTTATGCATACTCTCTTATTTTGTTTAAATGGTCTCAAAACATTCATGACAACCCGTGCCGACTTGCAACTAAATGTTTGTGCTTGCACGGTTTGGCGTGACGGAAAAATTGCATTGCTTGCTTGTTATTACTTGTTCATTTTATTAGTAAACACATTACTTTTTAGTCAACATGTCAGTGGAGTTACAAAGTTCTAAAAAGGAGATACTTTTAATAGGAGACGTAAAACATCAAATCACCAGTTAGAAACTTCCCTCTAATGGACAAGTACTGGGATTTTTGTTTTATAATATTTGTAAAAGTCAATTTAACTGTCAATGAAAGTGCATATGTAACTGTTCGTGAGTGTATTATTTACTGGGAAAAGGCAAGTATACCGACTGAATCATACCTAACATTGTTAAGAAACAAGTTTCATTGTATCAAGTTTAGAGAGATTTGCAAAAACTGCAAAAAAACAAAAAACAAACACAAGAAGTGTTTGAACAAAATCAAGAAGAGGTTCCTTTCAATTTAGGCAATTTGTTTGACCTTGCTCATGTTGATGCGCTTCAGCTAATTTAATTAGCTGAAGCACATCAATTCATTTATTTTAATTATTAAAATAAATGAAGATAGGATCTTCTTGGAGCAACAAAGAGAACCAGGTTAGCCTGGTCACTTAGCCGGAGTGGACAAAATATTTACAGACATGCTAAATACTTTACATCATTAGCTCCATTGAAATCATCTAATAAACCACCACAAGAAAACTCATCTTCTGATTCTAAAATAATAAATTTTCAAGAAAATAGGCCCAGCCTAAGTAGTGTTTTCTTTTGCCCAATAAAACTTGTATGCGGAAAAATTTCTCCTAAGTTGGTTGCCGCAAAGCTACTATTGACATAACACGGATGACTTTTCCGCAATCCTTAGATTTACTTCATTTATTTGTACAGAAATGCAAAGAGAACGGGCTGAAGGTATAAAAGTTAATTTTCAAAATAATATCCCGGATATGGTAATACGGATATGCCCACTGGGTCTAGATTCACATAAATCTTAAGAAGAACGCCTCCTGATAGTAATTTCATATGATGATAACGAACAACTTATCGCTGTACCAAAATTAGACAGCTCATCAGGAAGCAAACAGGTACAGACATTATCAACTAGAATCTTGAGGAAAGATTCTCTGTTGTGATACTACTGCTTCAAATACAGGCCTTATTAATGGTGCATGTGTGCTTCACAAACAAAAACTGGATAGAAAATGTTTATTTTTGATTGCTGTCATCATGTCTACGAACTAGCATTAAAAAGTGTGTTTGAATCAAAAATCAACCAAGTAACTACAAGCCAAGACATTCTGTTATTTAAAAAGTTTTGAGAAAACTGGAAAAATGTCAATACCGAAAAAATACAAATCTGCACAGAAAATCTTGTTTAAATGTTTCAGAAATTGATAACTGCTAGAATTGAATTGACTAAAGAAATAGCTAGAGATGACTATTGTGAATTGAGCTTTCAATATTATTTCTTGGTGGAGATACAAAGAAGAAATTTAAGATTCGGCCTCCAGGTGTTATGCATTAAGCTTGGTGGATAGCAAGAGCCATTTATTTATTAAAAATATCATTACTAAGCTCCCAATTCAGAATTTTAAACAAGGATAAGGCAGCTTTGTTGGATGTCTATCTGTTTATCATGACACCCTAATTCACATTCTGGCTCCAATTCATTTTAGCAGTAAAAGTATCTTATCAGTTTTTAAACATTAAATTATTTTTGTGTGCGTTCAAGTTTCAGTCATTATAATTTATTACTAAGATTCAGCAATTCTGTGGGTTAGCCGGTTGAATTGACTGCTCACCTTTGATTTTAGCTTTTAATAATTATCAACATAGCTTTTGATAATTATCTGGATTGTACATTTGGTCAGTAAACTAAAGGTCTGCTCATCTGTAAGAGATGATTCTACCAATATCAAAGAGTGAGTCTCTTCTCTGTAGTAGAAGAATAAATCAGCTTGCATTTCTTTTTTTCATTCTGATTCAATACCAACAAGGCTGCAAGCAACCATTATAAGGTTGGAAGTTACTAGAAAAAAAGAATAGAGTTATGGAGTGGGGGGGAGGGGGGAGGGTTGACGGAAGACTTAAAAAGTTGAAGGTTGATTGAGTTAGAAAAACATATAGATGGAAGAGAGTTCCAAAGTTGAAGTGTGGGGGAAAAAGCTAGGCGAATATAATTTTTTGGAGCATGCAGGGATAGATACAGTAAAAGAATGAGATTTTGATGAATGACGAGTCAAGCGAGAATGAGTTTTGGTTGATGGAACTAGAGATGAAAGCTCTTTTGAGCAGCAGCCGTGATAGTATTTGTAGAAAAGAGAAAGAGATGCAACTTTACGATGATGAGAAAGAGGCTCAAACTTAACAGATAGACCAGGTCCAACTACGTTTTTAGACTTTGTCTAGAAGAGAAAGAGCATCATTAGAAAAACCAGCTTAAATATGACAACAGTATTACATACAGGGACGAATAAGAGATTTGTAGAGGTAGAGAATGGAATCAGGAGTAAGAAAATGACAAGCACAACAAAGAGAAGCAACCTTAGCAGATGCTAATTTAGCAATCAATTATATAAGGTTTCCATGAAAGGTCAGTAGTAAATGATAATCCAAGAAGACTTAAAAAAGAGGACTCAGTTTATGGGTTGCCATTCATAAATATAGGAATGTCGACAGAACGGCAATAATTGTTTGCAGTAAATAACTGAGTTGGAGTTAAAATTTACAAGCCACTGTTAGCTCCAATCAGTTACAGAAGTGAGATCAGATTCAAGATTGGCTGCCTATTCTAAGCGATCGAAAAGAGAAGAGTTTTTTTCAAGACAGGAGTATAAAGCTGAGTCATCAGCAAAAAGAGCTACTTTAAAATAGGTATTTTCTGAAATTTCAATTTTGGAAATTTCAAATTTTTTTGAAATTTACAAAATTGAAGTTTCAAAAAAAAAGCAGATTACCCGAGTTGAATAAAATAGAAATTTCATATCATCATGCAATCTGCTGCTACAGAAATTACTTCTTTATCACTCTTGAAATTCTTCCCGAGCTGTTTGTAGTTCTTTACAAGCTCTAGGATAAAAGGATATTCAATATTTGGTGACATGTTGTTACCTCCAAGTTCTTCATCCATAACTACACTAAGGACTTGGTCAAGAACATGATGTTGACAACTGTTGAGTTGTGGTTATACCAGTTTCTTTTCAGTAAAATTATCTTTGCAATAAATGCCTTTTCTTTCAGATTTTGCTTATTTTTAAAAATTCTCAAGAAAACACCAGCAACAGGTAAATTGGTTTGTAGTGCTTATAGGTTATGTTTTTACTTCTTTTATTATTTTAGCAACTTAAGCTTTTTTTTAACTGTTAAAAAGTCATATATACATATATTTTTTTTCTAAAAAGCAATGTTTTGCTATTTGTAAATGATTGTATAAATTTATATACTTTAATTTTTAATAATTATTTTATAGCATTTTATTATTTTAGTAAAAGTGTAATAACTATAGAAAGGGAGGAAAGGTATGAAACAGACTTACCAAGACCCCTAATTTACTGATCTGACCAGCTAGTATATATTGTTATTTAAAATACAACGTAAGTCATTTTTTATGTTTGAGATTATGATTTAGGTAAACCATTTAACAAATCAATTGAAAAGCAAATTTTAAAAAGACTTTATAAATATTATGTAACAGTTAAGAATAAGTAACCACAGTTAAAAAATGACTTGTTATTTGAAAAAAAAAAAAGAAAAAAAAAAAAAAGAATTTTGTTGTCTATAAATTAAGGTGACAATTTAAAAGCAGTCATGCAAAAACTGTGTTTTTTACAAATGTAAATTGTGAAGTAAATTACTGAAATGATTTTGCAAATTGTTATAACACAGTGCAAGTTGCTATAACACAGAGCAAGTTGCTATAACACAGTGCAAGTTGTTATAACACAGTGCATTTTGTTATAACACAGTGCAAGTTGTTATAACACAGTGCAAGTTGTTATAACACAGTGCAATTTGTTATAACACAGTGCAAGTTGTTATAACACAGTGTAAGCTGTTATAACACAGTGCAAGTTGATATAACACAGTGCAAGTTGTTATAACACAGTGCAAGTTGTTATAACACAGTGCAAGTTGTTATAACACAATGCATTTTGTTATAACACAGTGCATTTTGTTATAACACAGTGCAAGTTGTTATAACACAGTGCAAGTTGTTATAACACAGTGAAGAATAGCAATATACACAACTTTGCATCAATAATTTTTACATCAATAATTTTTACATCAATAATTTTAAAATTGTTTTATTATTTTTTAGTTTCCCTTGTATTTGTCTATTTATACTAAACTATTTTAATTATTGATATAATAATATATTTTGATTATTATTATAGTATAAACAACTTTAAAATTTATATCATTGTTATTAAACTTTATAAAAACTTACCGAAAGTTAAATCCTCTCTAAAAGAAAAAAAAAGTTTAAAATAATTTATGTAATATCCTTTATCAATCCATTAAAAATCTACTTAAAATAATGAACATTATATTTATAAGCAGCAAGTACTACACAAGCAGCAAGTACTACACAAGCAGCAAGTACTACACAAGCAGCAAGTACTACACAAGCAGCAAGTACTACAGGAGAGTATACAGTCTTGACCCTAAAAACTAGAGGAATAGTTACAATTGAAAAACTTGTAACTATCATATTAAACAAGCAAATACTCAATATGAATCAAAATATTTAGGAATGTATAACCCTACATAAAAGTTTATTTTTTTAAGTCATAGTTTTTTTCAGAAATCAGGGACCAACAAAAAAATAAAAGTAAAAAAATTAAAGTAAAATATATATTATTTCTAATAATAAATTTCAATTCATTTATTTAAAAGTTCATTGCAGAACTCACTTGAAGCATTAACAACCTAGTCATCTAGGTAATTATTATATTTAGCATGAACCTTGTCAATTGCACAATCACTTCCATTACCTTCCAGATCACCTGCATTTTTTCCAGATCACTTGCATTTTGTTTGTAGATACACCAGCATCTACAAACAACGTACTGTCTTTTGGTCCACAGCATTATTGATGCCACATAGATTAGGCATTAATTTCTAAGCCTCGTCAACCTTTTTTAGAGTTGCTGGATCAGAACTCATACACTTATCTACCAGAACTCAACCACTCAGCCCACATCTTGTGATGTTAATCTTTAAAGGTTTTATGGAGACAAACATCCAATGACTGATAAAAAATGGTTGATTTTGGTATTGGGCACTTTTTTCCAGTTGAAGAACACAAAAATGAATGGATCCTCTCGTTATTATAAATCCATTTTGCTGCCTTTCCAAAACTCACCTATAAAGCTCATTTTCTAAATCAACAAATGATGCAACATCTCGTCTTAAACATTTAGTTTTTGGTATTTCAGTAAGTTCCTTTTTATATTTTTGCCAGTCTTAAACAATCTTATAGACATTTATTTCTAAATACTAAATATTACATATAATAATAATAATTATATTTAACTTTTTAAAATTTTATTTTTTAACTGATTTATTGATATTGCTTTTAATATATAAAAAATAAATTAATGCATGTATGTATATACATTATAAATTTATGGATGTATGTTTTAAAAAGTGTGAAAAGTGTATGTCTAAATTATATTCAAGTGAGTAATTGAAGAAATGCAATATCAAATCTAGGCATGTGTAGAGGTATGCTTGTGCAACAGCACACCATTCCTGACTAGTCTGATATGCAAGGATGTAGAGTAAAAAAAGACTCTAGCTTTAAATTTCTATTTTTTCCTGGTGTCTGGTCCATGGTGTCTGGTCTCTGGGAGTTATAAAAATATTAAGTAACTTATAATCTGCAATAAGAAAAAAATTTATGAGATTTAATTACTTGGAACCTATTGTTTTTTAGTCTGGAATCCTGTTATCCTTGCCATCATTATACATACAGGCTTTCACAGGAAGGCGTGCAATCATACATCTTTATATGACCACGCAAAAAATAATATGTTCTAACAATTTGACCACGATTTTTGACATATTTTTAAAATTTAAAAATGCGCTATAAAAACTTACCTAAACTTGCCTAAAAAAAAATTGTAAAAAGGAAAAAAATCTTAACGAAAGAGAAAGTAAAAAAAAAAATACTTAGTGAAAGCAAAAACACAAAAAAATATATATATATATATGTAACCCAACTAAAGCAAAACTCATCAAACTTAAATGTTTAGTCTATTTAATCTACGCATTAAAAAACCATTTCAATTTTTGTTTCAACATTTGTTCTTTTTTTTTATTCTATTCAATGTTTTAAAAGATAAACATTTCTCATAAAAAATACATAATTATATAAATTAAAAAAACAACAGTTTATTAATACTTAATTTAAAAATTAATTGCAAGTCTTTTGTTACTTCATTAAAAAGCATTTTGACAATATAAAAGCATTTAAGATCAAACTTATTTAATTGTAACGGCTTTCTAAATTTTTTCAACAAAATTTTGTTTATCTTTTTAAATGTATTAACTTTAATTATTCTTATATTAAAATTGGTTAAAGAGACTTTCGTAGTCGTAAAATGTCATAGTTTATAAAAACAAAACAATTTTTATTTTTTAATAATGTTTATTATAGAAATCAGGGATGTGGAGTCACAAAAAGACTCTGGCTTTATATCTCTATGTTATCCAGGTCTGTAGTGTCTAAAAGCTCTAAAATGTTTGTTGACTTGTTATCTGCTATAAGCAGATAACAAGTCAACAAACATGTTTAGAGCTTTTTTTCTATAATATACATTTATCGAAATTATTAGCTGGAGCAAGAAGAAGGCACATTTTGCCTTATAACCGAACCCCTTATATATATCAAAAAAAAAATTCTACAAACCGTAACATACAAATATATATGAAGACATAAATCAAAATTAAAACAGAAAATAACTAAGAAATTAAAGAAATTCAAAATAGCAAATAATTAATAAGTGTTAAATTGCTTAAAACCAGTAAGTTGTACAAGAACACTTAATCAAAAATTTTCAAATAAAAAAATAATGTAAAATTTCATAATTAACATAATCATTAGATGAATTTTGAACTTCACTTAAATTTCATGGGTATAAATAAATCTGTTTTGAGCTTACTTTAAAAGAAACATTTAAAGTTGGACAAATTGAATTCCTTGGAACTTATTTTTTTTAAGCCCGGAGTCCTGGAGTCCAGGAGTCCTTGCCGCCATTATACCTAAGGACTTTGGGTTCAAAAAGTGTTTGTTCCTCTTATCTTAAAATCTTAATTGTTTTCGTAATAGTAGTTCGTAATAGTAGTCCATAAACTTTTTTTATATTTTTAGAGCTCCTGGATACCAAAAACTATAAAGAAGTAATTTTTTTGTGACTTTCAAATCCGGAGTCTTTTTTTTGGACTCCGCATCCCTGATAGAAATGCACACTTTAACAATTTATATATTATAACTGTCAATTATATTTATTTAAAAAAACTATTATCAGTAAATTGTTATTTAAATGTGTTTCGCTAATATAAAAGCATTTGTTAAGAAATTTTGATGTAATTAATTTCACTTTTTCAGAATATTTTTTATTTAGCGCATTTTAAAAATGTTTTTTGATTTAGCCGCGGTCAAATTGTCATAGCAAAACGTAATTTGCCTGGTCATATAAAGACATGCGATCGCACGCCTTCCAGTGAAAGCCTGTACATAACAACACTGAGTTCAAAACTTGATTGTTTCTAAAACTAAAAGTCTTAACTTTTTTCCCTAAAAGTAGTCCATAAGTCTCTTTACATTTTTGGGTCTCCTGGATATCAAAAAATAGAAAGAAATAATCATTTTATGACTTTGGAATCTGGATCCCATTTTGAGGACCCAAATCCTTTAAGACATGTATATAAAATTATATATAATATATCTGCATATAATACGAATAAGTATTATATCAATACTATCTCTATTATATTTATATTATCTATTATATTATCTATATTTGTTTTAAGCTGTTTATTTTTGGATCAAGGGCATTTATACTTTCATACTTTCCTCTAATTTATAATTTTATTACAAATTAGAGGAAAGTATGAAAGTATAAATTGAGTTCAATTGATACTTTCATACTTTTAATTGAGTTCAAGTTATCAATTAAACTCAAGTTATAAATTGAGTTCAATTGATAACTTATTTGATAAATTTCCATTAAATTTATTGTTATAACCATTTTAATATGTATATGACTTGTAGCGTGACTTAATAGTGTGTCATTTGATTTAATAGTGTGCTAAAGATAGTAAAACAACTAAACTTGATTTCAAATAAAATTACCTTTTCTAACTGTTTTTTTATACTTTTGACAATGACATTTATTGCAACTTTGTTTTCACCCTCTAAAACAAAAAATTTTGACACTTTGAAACAAATTTAAAAAATAAAAACTTTCTTTAAATTAAAAACTATATTTTTATGATTCAAAATAATCTTAAAATTTAAAAAATTTAAAAAATAAAATTAAAGTATTAAAAAAAAAAAAAAAAAAAACCAACCCCAAGGTACAACAATATCAGCAAACTTCATTGTTGGAGCAATAAATTTTTCAAACATCTAAAAATAAAAAATAACAATTACTATGACTCAACATAAATCCTTCCAGCCCTCACCTTAACGTAGATACTTTTTACACACATTATAACTCATCAGTCAATCTATGTTTGCCATTGCTTATTCTTATTTCATTATAAAAATATTAATGAGTAATGTACAACCCTTCAATTAGCACCAGTATATAGGAGTCTCCTCCTTACCTAAATGTAATCCATACAATTGTACTGGTGTTTGTTGGCAAACATAGATTTTCCAATATGATTCATATTCTCTGTATATGATATGATATAATATGATATTCCAATAAATCCAAATAATATATGATATGATATAATATGATATTCCAATAAATCCAAATAATATATGATATGATATAATATGATATTCCAATAAATCAAAATAATGCAAACAAAGAAAAATTTATATACTGGTAAAAAAAAAAGATTAATACACAGAACATTTAAACAAAATTTATTTTTGTAAGAAATTTAATGTTAAGAAAGTTCAACATTTTATTTAATATGTTTTTTTGATGTATTTTATTAAACATTGCTTCTATGATGCAAAATGGAATAGAACACTTTTAGGCATAAAAAACTTTTTAAAAGCAGGATCAAATAAACATATCAAAAACAGATTTATAAAGATTTTTTTTTTGTAAAGATTTTGATTTGAGTAAAAATAAAATAAAAATTATTTGAATCAATTTTAAAATGGTAAAACAATGTACTATTGGTAAGATCCACAATAAAAATTCTGCCAGTTTCAAGTGACAATATAAGTTCTTTTATTACAGATGCGGAAAGAAGAATGTACCATACTTGGTGACAAAATTTAACTATGCAAAGTACTATTTAGTACTTTGTTGCTCATGAAAGACAAAGGGATGCCTTTACAATAGCAAAATGGGAAAAACTTCGTTGTATAACTTGGAAATATATTTGGCATCCAGAAACAGACGACTTAGATGAGTATGCTAAAAATAGAAATGACTATGGGAATGAGTATGCTCCAAATAGAATGGGAATGGTATGCTCCAAATAGAAATGACTATGGGAACTAACAGATGCTTTAAAGCAACAGTAATTTGAAATCTGTTAAAAAAATCTATATACAAACTGGCTTTGTAAACAGAACCTTTCTTGCAACAAAATAACAAAATAGTTATTCAGAAGTTGATTAAAATTTTATATTTTATTACACATAAAAGATGAACAATAAATGAAAATTCTGAACATTATCTACAAAAAAAAAAAATAAAAAAATAAAAAAAAAAAAAGCAATGAAGACAAATCATATTTATTGCAAATAAAAAAAATAATGTTTTATATATATTTGTAAATTTGGTAGATAGAAAATATTTAATCAACAATCTAAAGTAAGATTTACTTGAAATTATCTAAAGGAAAGTTAAAAAATGCTTTATCAATGCTGATAATTTTGATTTGCTGATCAAGCCAATTAATTAATTTTTTCTTGCTTACTTAACATGTTTTGTGGTATTGAACATGCAGAAAAAGCAACACATTTATTCTAATGACTTGGTGGCAAATGAATATTTCTTTTATTTTTTTATTCAAATTTTCAACTAGTTAAACTCACTTAACACTTTAAAAGTTAATAAATTTCACATTAATATAAGATACTATTACTGAAAATAACATTTTTAGTAACAGTATCCTTAACAAAATAATTATTACCATTATTTTATTACCATTAATTACCACTATTTTATCATTTATTTTTTTTTTAGCATTTTTCACAAGAATCATCTTAGTAAGAAATCTCACTTTGCTTCAAATTTAATGTGAAGTTTAATGCAGTCTTTCACAATGAGGTTTTTTTAATGATGGTAAATAGAGGCAGTGAATGACATCACTGTTCTCAGCCAATCATCGTAAAGAGAATCTGTTGGTGATATTGCTCACAAGCCAAACTTCAGTAGAACTTCTAGTTGCAGTTAACATTTTGTAATAAAGTACTTGTCTGTTATATAAATGTATTTTGTAATAAAGTACTTATCTGTTATATAAATGTATTTTGTAATAAAGTACTTGTCTGTTATATAAATGTATTATGTTAAAAGTACATGTGTGTGGATATGAAAAAGTACTAAATAGTAAAAATTGTCAATATTATGACAACTCATGAATTTTTATGTTTGAGTTTTGCATTCGGTTTTGTTTAAAAGCAATCATTTTAAACAGCATCCACTTTAAGGCCTTAATATGTGACTGATGAATTGTTAATACTAAACTAATAAATTTAATAAACAAAAGACTATTGAATACTCACGGTAACTAGTTAATAGTAATTATACAATACATTAAATAACTGATGCAAATTAATAAACTTTTAAGCTTTCAAGCCAGCTTTTAAGCAAGGTTTCAAGCAAGCTTTTAAGATTTTTTTTATAAGTAAGATGGCTGATGCTTTGCACAAATTACTATGTACAATTTGTGCAAAACACTAGTCATCTTGCTAGTGTTTTGCACAATATATATATATATATATATATATATATATATATATATATATATATATATATATATATATATATATATATATATATATATATATATATATATATATATATATATATGAAAAAAACACATCTAAACTTCTTTTAAGTATTTGTGTCAATAAGTCCCTGTGTAATAAGTGCAAAAAGTAAATATTATAAAAGTTTCAGACAGGAGGTAATCCACTGTTATTTAGGGTGGTAGCCCTCCTATCCAGATATATATTGGTTGCTTACTGTTTCAGACAGGAGGTAATCCACTGTTATTTAGGGTGGTAGCCCTCCTATCCAGATAGAAGAACGAAGTATTTCGATTTGAGATATATACCAAATAAAATATTGATTGATAATGTTGAAACCATCAAGCGATGCAGATAGGAATGGTGCTCATAACACTTGTGTAAACCTAGACGTGTGGCTAAAGGAGTTGAAGACAGTAGTTTTAGATTTGAAGAAGGAAATTAACGAGATAAAAAAGGAGAATCTAGCAAAAGATGAAAAGATAACAAAAATCGAGGGAAGAATATTGGTACTGGAATTTGAAACGAAAAAAACTCCAGAGACAACAAATAACGCTAATGCCGCTCCTACTGAAAATGTATGGTTCAAAAAGATGTCTGCTCAATGGTTAAAACCAGGTAGTACCTCGAATACGGCCTTAGTTCAAGCAATCACCAACAACAATAAGCTACGTGAAAATAAAGCAAAAAATTTAGTCATCGCAGGGTTACCGATCTCCAAAGGACCAAGTTCAGCTGATAAAATAGCCGACGATACAAAAATTGTAAAAGATATTTGTGTCGCAATTGATAATCCAAACGCTGGCATAAAATCGGTTCGTCGTATGTTTAGAGCAAACAACTCTACTTCAATTACACAATCACCTCCTCTAGTAGTTGTTGAGTTTGACACAATTGATATAAGAAATGAAATTTTAACATCTTCAAGAAAATTATATGGTAAGCAAGAGTTTAAAGGTATTTACATTAGACTGTACCGCACGCCAGCTGAGCAAACTGAATTTGCGGCTTTACTAAAAGAAAGATATGAAGCAAATAACGATTTGAAGAAACACGGTAATCTGGACAACCCCTTTCGGTTTGTCATCCGCAATGACAGGGTCCATTGCGTCGATGTCACAGAGACCCATGATGTTAATGGAACCAACAAGTTCATATTTGCTGGAGAAAGTGCAGCGAGAGCGGCAAGACGTGCTAAATTTGTCATACGAAATAAGTCATCTGAGCAACAACATCATAATTAAATTAGACAAAAATGTCATATTCAACTCACCAAATAATTACAATAATACCATATCTTCAGAATCAGGTAAACAATTTATCAACTTTTTATACACTAACCCAACATCTTTTACGCAAAACAAACTACATGAACTTGAATTGATGTTATCTTACACAAATCCGTCGGACGTCATAATGCTAACTGAAACATGGTTCACTAATTCATCAATTGTAAACATAACAAATTTCACTATTTTTAGAAAAGATCGTGGTTCTAAAGGTGGTGGTGTATGTATTTATGTTTCGAATCATCTTAAGTCATTAGAAATAACTGACAATCAGCTATGTAGAGAGAATATTGAACAGATTTGGTGCAATATAAAAATTGCTTCTGAATCGATTTTAGTGGGATGCATTTACAGACCAAATGACGACGCAACAACAATTAATGAAATACTGAAATCAATTAAACGAGCAAAAGAACTAAGAAATAAAGGCCTATTTACTAGCATAGTAATTGCAGGAGATTTCAATTTAGCCGACATTGAATGGGATAGCGACAATACACCCAGAACTTCCACACAATATGAACAAACATTTATTGAAACGTTACACGACAATAATTTAACTCAATTAGTCAATTTTCCAACATTTATTAAAAATCATGATGAATCAGCTAAAACAACTTTGGACTACATAATAATGAACCAACCTGAACGGCTTGATCAACTACTAGACTTTCCTCCCCTCGGTGCTACTTGCAGAGTTAGAGGTCATCTAGTTCTTACCTGGCGCTATTTATTAAATAAATCAACAACCAATAATTACGACAATATTTTAAGAAAAAAATATGCATTCGACAAAGGTAATTATGAATTAATTAAACAATACTTTAATAAAATAGATTGGGAGTCAAAATTTACCAACTCAAGTATTGATGAAGATTATGAATACTTTGTTAAAGAATATATATTAGCTTGTAATAAATTCATACCAATAAGAAATAATAAAAACAACACAAATAATCTCGAACCATGGATAAACAAAACAGCAAAAATTGCTCTTAAAATCAAGCATAAACTCTACTACCGTGCAAAAAATAATAATTGGCGTAGGACACAAAAAACGAAATCAAAATACAATAGGGCAGCTAAACAGGTAAAAAAAGAAATATTTAAATCAATTTGTGCCTTTGAAAGACACTTAGTTCATGAGTCAAAAAAGAATCCTAAATTAAT